GCAGCCGGTGTGGGAGGGAGGGAGGGAGAGAGCTGGGATGGAGGGAAAGGGTTGGGATGGAGGGAGAGGGTTGGGATGGAGGGAGAGGATGAGGGTTGGAATGGAGAACAAGGGTTGGGATGGAGGGAGAGGGTCGGGATGAAGAACAAGGGTTGGGATGGAGGGAGAGGGTCGGGATGAAGAACAAGGGTTGGGATGGAGGGTGAGAGTTGGGATGTAGGGGGAGGGTTGGGATGGAGGGGGAGGGTTGGGATGGAGGGAGAGGGTTGGGATGGAGGGAGAGGGTTGGGGTGGAGGGGAAGGGTTGGGATGGAGGGAGAGGGTTGGGATGGAGAACGAGGGTTGGGATGGAGAGAGAGGGTTGGGATGGAGGAAGAAGGCTGGGATGGAGGATGAGGGCTGGGATGGAGGATGAGGGCTGGGATGGAGGTCACGGGGGTCCCAGGGGCTGTTTTTGCCCCGCTGCCTCTGCACAAACCCCTGGGACCGTCATGGGAAGGACAAAGGGACCCAACCCATCCCTGCCGGGTTTTTAGCCCCATCTGGCCAGTCCGGGACACAGAGCACGTGGCACACGTGGCACACGATGCCAGGGGGTGGAACACGTGGCACACGATGCCAGGGGGTGGAACACGATGCCAGGCGGTGCCTCCTCCCTCGGCCCCGTGCCCGCGCCGCTCCCAGGGCTCCGGACCCGGCCGGGGTTGGAGCGGGAGCTCCCCCGCTCCCATTCCGGGTGTTTTCCCAGCGCTGCCCCGGGCGGGCTGGATGTTCCTCACCCCTGCTCCTCCCAGGGGGTCCTGCTGCCTCCCCTCCTCCCCTCTCGACACCCTCCCGCTCATCCTTCTCCCCCATTTCCCTACCCCCCGCTCCGTTCCCAGCTCCCCCGGTGGGACTGGGCTCCCCCTGCCCATACTGGTCGGACTGGGCTCTGCTCCCTCCCTCCCCCCCCCGCCCTGGCACGGCTCCGATCCCGGCGCTAATCCCCGGGAAGGGGAGGCTGCGATCCCGAACGTCTCAATGCGGGCGGTGACTCACGCGGGCCCTCGGGGCGGAGGAAGCGCTTGTTAAAGGAGGTGCAGAAACATCCACTCATCGCCCGCTCCATAAAGCTGTCATGGCACTGCCCTGCTCCCCACGGCTGGGATGGCACTGCCCTGCTCCCCACGGCTGGGATGGCACTGCCTTGCTCCCCCATCCTGCTCCATAAAACTGTCACGGCACTGCCCTGCTCCCCAGAGCTGGGATGGCACTGCCCTGCTCCCTCATCCTGCTCCATAAAGCTGGGATGGCACTGCCCTGCTCCCCAGAGCTGGGATGGCACTGCCCTGCTGTCCTGGCACTGCCCTGCTCCCCAAACCCGGCCATAAAGCTGGGATGGCACTGCCCTGCTCCCCAAGGCTGGGATGGCACTGCCCTGCTGAGATGGCACTGCCCTGCTCCCCCAGCCCAGCCATAAAGCTGGGATGGCACTGCCCTGCTCCCCGAGCCACCCTGCCCATGGATTGGGCTCCTCTCCTGGGGCTGGAGGAGCTTTTCCAGGGCTGGAGGAGCTTTTCCAGGGCTGGAGGAGCTTTCCTGGGGATGGAGGAGCTTT